GAGAGAGAGAGAGAGAGAGAGAGAGAGAGAGAGAGAGAGAGAGAGAGAGAGAGATTTCTTCTTCCTCTTCTCAGTCCACTATCTCCCTCTCACCCTCTCGCTGCCTGACTTCACTGCATCAGAAGACTACGAGAGAGTGGACTTGGTGACATTTTGATCCAGACTCGACATTGGACTTTAGACATTTGACAAGGGATTATCTGGGACTTGTACCGAAGAGTCGCGAAGACTTGGTGTTAACGACATTCCCATCTCCCCCCTCTTCTTTGTTTGATCTCCTCCTCTTCGTCTGTGTATGGTCTGGACCTGGTGCAGTCTTCCTGTGTGTAGCACCAGGCCCCTTCACACCTTGTGATGAGGATGATGTATGTTTGGTCCGCATTGCGACATTGATTGGGCTAGTCATTGGTATTCTAGCATTTCACTATGCTGTCTTGTACTACGTGAGGGAGGTCAGTCCCGGTCAGGTCAGGACTTGTATCTAAGTCTTCCACTGCGCTACAAAGCACCATTTTTGTATGTATCAGGATGTACACTGCTTGTTGAGATTCTACTAGCACTGCATTGTCCATTCAGTCCTTTTTATCACATTGCGGATCCTTGGCTATGTATGTACATCGCCCGACTGGGCATGTAACACAAGCCTAACCTGTACAACAGTCCAACTCCATGAATGATCTTACAGGGCCAGATTCTTTTTTTTTTTTTTTTTTTTTTTTTTAAACAGAGTCCCTGCAGTGCTAGTGATGCTGATGTGCACAGACATCACGAGCACCTGGGGAGAGGCTCCATCTATTGGTGGGGAGCAGCACCTGCTGGAAAACGGGTCCAGCGTCCCTTATGCGTTAAAGTACAACATGAACCATAGACCAGTAACAGGATGAATGTCTAGAAGGTGCCTGCCAGCATTGATTACTCTGGAGTCTAGAGGATTGGCTGCGCAGGTGGGTATAACCCGACCAATGAGTCTGAAAAGCAGGTGGTCCCCGTCATCTTCTCCAGCCCTTTGTCTGGCCATGGTTCTGGGAGCAGCCACTGGGGGTCACCAGTGGGGCCTCCTTCCGTCACCCTGCCCATCCCCTAAAAAACTTTTAACGTTCAAATACTGCCACCCGCCCCCACTGCATCATGATGCTGGTTACAAGACAGATTAAGACAGAATGAGATAGGGTGGGACAAAATTGGACGGAATAAAAGCAGAAGATGGAGGCTTAGCCGCCTGGAGCAAAATAAAACAACAGATTGGGTTCTGAGAATGTAGGGGGTTTACAGACATATTTCCAGAGACCTCGGGTGGGGAGGGAAGGGGTCTGGAAACTCCTCTGCCGGTCTCATGGGGATGTTCGACTCTATCGCCAGCCATTCCTTGAATCGCAGGTGGTAGTCCTTGGGACTGCCTCTCCTTGTTTGTCCTCCCTTCCCTGTTCTCCTTCCCAGCCGCCAGTCCCCAGTCCAGCATACTTCCACTACCCATCCTTCCCTGTCCCCGCCCAACCATTCCCTTGAAAACTGTAGTAACCGATCCCGGATGTCTTTAGATCTTTGGAAATTGTCAAGTGATTGCTTAGTTGACTTCCACCTATACGAGAGCTCTAGTTGAAATTGTGTTTTGAATTGCTCCAATCTCTCTTCTCCCTCTACCCGAACAAGGTCTAAAGTTAGGACACAGCGTTGCCACCACAAAACCCACAGGATCGTTTTGAAACCTGTTCGACACAAAGGTGTTGTCTTGGAAGGGTGGGTAGTGGCCCATTAGGATGGCCCGCCCATCCCACGGCCATGGGTGCCCTGGAACCATTTGTTACCACACTCTATCCGACCACGGCCAGGTCAAGATTGGTGTTGGGCATTGCATAAATATGTGTTCAATTGTCTCTGCTCTCTTTCTAGCCGGGAAACCCAACAGACATCGGGAGCACCAAGGGAGCGCACGACCTTGTTGTTCCACCCACGAATGATCAATCAGCCAGTCATTTGTAGGTAAGCACCGATGCAAGATCTGCTACTATAAGGATGTAATTTTCGCCGGTTTGCACTTGGTGTCGCAAAACCATCGTATCAGTGTGAGAAGTTGTCTCTCCACATTGAGGTGCTTCTGCCATCTGTCGATCACCGTGTCTTTTAGGCAACGCTTAGTTCTAAGCATTCGGTACGTCGCCTTCACCGAGAGCCCCGACAATGTTTTAGGTTTTGGTTGTCGTGGGTTATGCCGTGTGTCGGGATTCCAGATACATTCCAGTGGGTCAGTTGGGAGATGCTCTATGGCTATCTCAAGAAGGAAAGTCCGCCGGTTGTCTCCTTCCTCCATTACCCTGATGCGGTGTAGTTCCTTCTTCAAAGTCCATTGAAAGGGGTCCCGGCTCCCTTCAAGACTGTCGTTTCCTTTTGTGATGTACCACTCGAGCAGCACGTCGTCCGATCGAACTAGGTGAACCAGGCCTACCTTATCGACCCTCCCCCCATGGGACACCCAATCTCCCTCCTTCAACACCGGTCCTCTGCGAAGAATGGGCCACCACCCTACCGGGAGGGCCTCCGTTATTTCGTCAAGGGCCGATTCAACATTGTGGCAGTATCTAAATTCCTCCCTCATCTTCTACGGGCTCTTCCAGTCCTTCCTCTCCCCGTCCCAAAGGTCGCCCACTCGCGTCACCCCATTCTTCACCCACCCTTTCTATGGGACGTCTGTGCTGCAAAAAATCTGACTGCGTTCGTTGGTGATCCAACGGTTTCCAAAGAGGGGTTGCCTTGCCACCTCCTCCCACCTGTCTGAAAGTAGGCGATTCGGGGGGGGGAGCCGCCTCAAGATTTTTAACAAACGGGGCTAGAAGTCGTCTCTCCTCCCCTCCCCTCCCCAGGGGCGCCGTGGCACTCTCCGGTAGCTGTCCTCTAACCATTGGAGAGGGTGTACAGACTGAGGGGCCTCGGGGGCCAGACGGGCGATCTATGCGCCAACGGCCTCCATACTAGTGGGTTCTCGAATATCAATCGTACTACCCATTGTAAACTAAGGGTTTGGGATTGAGTGAGGGGGTCTAGGATACCGAGGCCTCCCTTTGTCTTAGGTTGGATAACTGAGTCCCATGCCACCCGGCTGATAGCGTGGGGGGTTCTCACTATCCCCTCTCCATAGGTAAGCTGCCACCTTCCTCCTCAATATCTTCAGGGCCCCTGGGCTCAGTGGCCAAAGTACCGAGTTATACCAAAGGGTGGCTAAGACTACATTGTTGATCACCAAAGCACGTCCGAAAAGTGACGTGTGATGATGGTTCCATTGGGAGAGTTTGACACACGCTGGGGCTGATATCCAACCGTCATTTTTAGGGGATTGACCTAGCATTGTCATCTTCACCCTCAGAATCCGAATTGGGGATTCGGGGGCCACCCAGGTGATGTGAAGTCCTTCCGGGGGACGGCCTCCTTGGTGGTGGAGCCACCATCCGATCGTTTTGTGACCCCAGTTAACGGCCATGTCCGAGAGAGTGCAGAAAAGGGCCATCAACCTGTATATCACCTCCATGTTCTGCTGTGAGGCGTCGGCCATAATTGTGAGGTCGTCTGCGAATAGTGAACAGATTGGAACAACTTCCATCTTGGATGCTGACTATCTGAATTCTCTTTAAATCTTTGCTTTGTCAGAGGTTGGTTGCTAACGCTTCCATTATGATAATGAATAAGAAGGGGGCAATGGGGTCCCCATGCCTGACCGAACGTTGCAGCCTTATCTCTGGGGCCATAGACCTGTTTATTTGCACGCTCGTGGTAGCGTTATGGTGCAAAATACGCACCCACCTCCGAAAATTGTTGTCGAAATTTAGTCTCTCTAGGCACTTATCTAGGAAGGTCCAGTCTACGTGGTCGTAAGCTCTTTCGAAGTCGATGAAGATGAGCGCGACGTTACTTTTAGGCTGATGGGCCAAGCTTTACATCTCATTAACTAGAAGTATGTTGTCTTGGATGTCATAACCCTTAAGGAGCATTGGCCACGGGGGGAGGCCGATGGTCCGCTGCGCGCCGAAATCGGGTGGAAGTTTTCGCGAGGGCCAGCGGATGAACGCGATGGAGGGCAGGGCGGCGTGCAAAGCGGTGCGCGTACCGAATTGTTCACAGCGCACCAAAAAATGAGAGACCGCGCCCATCGGGCCAGGCGGCGGCGGGCGTCGATGCGAGGGAATGTCTCGAAGCGCCCGCCGTCGGATAGCAGGAAAGTGTCGTTTTGTGTCCTTTTTTTGTATGTTTTTTTTTTCGGTTTCGGTTTCACTTTTTCGAGTTCTTCGGCCTCGAGTTTGCTCATTTTCGTGTCGTTTTCCCGTGTCTGGTCGTCGCTTTGTCTTTTTCCGTTTCGTTTGTCGGCCATAGAGGCAGGCGGGCGGGAAAAGGACAGAGTACCCCCACCGCCATCCCCACTTCG